GTACAACATAAAAGGATAACAAATTTAATCATAATTTTAATCATTTTTGGACAATAAAATGCAAACGACAATGAAAAATGGAAGAAAGTTGTATCTAGATGATAGATGTTATTGATAATGACAATTATATTTTTTCCTTTATTATCTTTGTTGTAGCCAGCAGTGTAAAATAAATATACTTAAAATAATTTAAACATCATATAAGAGAAGTAAATTCAATCAACATATTAATAGCCCCCTTAGCGTGAGGAAAAAACAATGTAAATGACGATGATGACGACAGTGATGATGACATTGATGATGATGATCAGGATGATGCTATTGATTACGATGATGATGATTAGGATGATCAATGGTGATGATTAGGAAGATGATTGACATTAAGGATGACGATAAGGATACTAATGATAAGGATGAGGGCGATGGTAATGACATTATGAAAGACATTATCAACAGGTGAAATGACTTACCTTATCCCCTGGTGGACCAGGTATAAATTTTATATCACCAGTTGGTGGTTCTACTTGATCACATTCCTTCGGTCCCGGTTCTCCTTTTTGACCCTAAAAAAAAAGATACAATCACCAAATCAGTCTTAGCATAGACTTAGCACAGTGGCATATTTGGGGGTACGCACCCCCACCCACAAACCCCCCTCCCCCCAAAACTCATACTCAACCAAAAATCACACCTAAGTAGTTAAAAATCACCTTATATTGCAAGCAAGCATCCCCTCACCTAATCATCGAACCCCTTTTGCTTTCATACCCCATCAGCCTCCCCACTCCCATTTCAAGGGTCCTAGATACACCATTGCAAACTAGTCTCCAGGCCCGTAACTAGGATTTTTTTGGGGGGGGGTTAAATTTGGAAAAAGTGGAGCCTTTTGAAGATGTTAACGACCAACCAATTGCGCTGACCACATAAATAAGAGTTCCATCTTGAAACTTGTATTAAAAGTTGCTACTGTCTATAAAGATTATTTGAACAGGATTATTTTATTTATTTATTTTTTTTAAGTTTAAAGCAATCTTCTTTAGAGATTTTTTTTTTTGCCATCCAAGCGGAGCCAGCTAGCAAATGGCGGGGTTCGTCTGAACCCCCCACTGGTTACGGGCCGGAGTCTCATATTAGGAGTTACAAACGATATATTTAGACCATCACAAAAAAGCCTTAAGCAACACCAGTACTGTAAATGATCAATTACATGTCGCTCTCAAATGTGATTTTTTTCTGTCGACCATGATTTTTTTTTTAGCTAAGCCACCACTAAATATATTCTAATTTGATCAAATTTTGTGAAGCTTAATCAAAGTGTATAAGACCCAACATGCCATGATGTTTTCATATTCTTGGGATAAACACTTAATTTCTGCCATCTCTTGAATAAGTAGCTTATTTGGTAAATTACGGTAGGGTAATTATGAGTAGGGTAATTATAGTAGTAGAGTAAGAGTAGAGTAATCAAAAACATTGATAAATGTACGAACAAGCAAATTTGGTAAATATATCAGCAAAATGTCTCACCTTTTCACCATTAGCACCTCGAAAACTGACTCCCATTTCGCCTTTCTGTCCTTGAGAACCACTGTCTCCTCTACCTCCCTGGAAAATGAAAAATTATCCAATAACATGAGCTACAATATGGGAATCTGATGAACTATATTTACATTGCATCTATATTTTGTCAAAAAACAAACTGGGAATATTTTTGTATGATTATGCCCTAGTGATCATCTATCCTACCCATTCGGTACGGTGACAAGAGGAGTACAGCTGGAGTAGCATTTTCAGGGGCCAATGATATGGTACCTACAATGGACTGATTAAATGCTTACCTTTCTTCCTTCATATCCTCGTTCACCTTTCGTGCCTTTCATTCCATCCAGTCCAGGCTCTCCCTGATAAGAAAATTTAAACAATATTAAGGCAAGATCCTCACTGTACCTGACGGTCATCAGCCAATTGGATTCTATGTAGCACGCAACATCATGCGCGCAAGGGATAGTTTCTAATGCAGCCTAATAAAATGTCTCCGACGCCCTCTCAAGGTGTACCATCATTGTGTAATACAATGTTCAACCATGCAGCCTCTGTGGTCTAATGGTTATGATGCTCATCTTGACAGAGAGGTCGCAGGTTCGAATCCCGCCGGATGAATTTTATTACACAATGTATTTATTTATTTATGGGACAACATTAGTTGAGAGCTGTATGCTACATGATGTACCATAATGTCCTTTATTCAAACACTGTATTTACCTTTCTTTTGTCTTTTTGACAAATTATATATAATTTAACAGTGTTAATGGCTATCTTTATCATTTTTTATATATATATATACTGTCTCTTATACACATCTAGATGTGTATAAGAGACAGGTAATAAATATAGAAGCATATATGTATATATATATATATATATGTACATGTGTATGTGTATATATTGTATATGCTTACATATATGTATATATATATGTATATATATATATATAATATATATACATTCTTGTAATTACTGATAATTAATATATATTTTGTAATATTAATTAATTTTTTTTATGTGATCCACTACTAAACTCATTACTTTGTCACTGAAAGTTTTCACTTCAAAGACAAAATGAGTAAACAAAACATGAAAATCATCACCACCATCAATCAATTCACTATTAGCAACATTATTATAATCACCCCTGCTACTACCACTACACTATTATGGTTATATATATATTTCATAAATTGAAAATAAAATTGAAATAGATTATAACTATCATCATTTAATCAGTGTTATATCTAATTGTAACAACTTACCTTAGAGCCTTCATCTCCTTTTGGGCCGAGGCTGCCTTTAACTCCCTTTAGAGCATTGCCTGGAAGTCCTCGATCTCCCTGTTAAATAAATCATAATATACACAATATTTGCATTTTCGCCTTCTTTTTAAATTATGCATACAAATTTTTTAAGAACTATATTTATCGTCAAACTTTCATCAATAGCATATGGATTCAAATCACTTTGGCATAATTCCAACATTTTCCAAAAAGCAAAAAAAAATGACACAGGCCAAGTCCTTGTTGGTAATTAGCAACAAAAAGACAGGTGGAATCATATTTCCCAAGGGAAGCCAAACGTGAGCCCCCTTTTTTTTGGTGGATATTGCCAACCTTGACAAAATTGTCTCAAAGTACGTTGCCTACAAAATGTTTAATTATTTAATTATATTTTAATGAAACATGTCTATAATTTTATGCATGGGTGACTGCACATACTTGGCCCTTCCTGACTCTAACAAATGCCATTACAATTTAACTCTCTATTTCAAGAGTAATAAGTACTGAATAATGTTTCCAAAATACTTGGCTTTCAGATCATTCATGATGTACTTCATGAATATGCATTGGGTTTCATGAATATGCATTAGCATTTACCTTTGGCCCCGGGAGCCCTGCCTGTCCGGGATCACCTTGTGTGCTCTGTCCTGGTCCTCCTGGTTGTCCTGGTTCTCCCTTGGTTCCGTTACATCCTGGGACACCAGGTTCCCCCGGTGGCCCATCTACACCTGAGTCGCCTGGCAACCCTGGGTAACCAGGATATCCTGGTTGTCCTTGCGTCCCCTATAACAGACACAACACCATAAACTTCATTATTCAAACATCAAATTTATGGCCTATATAATATATATTTACTCTATATTATATTATATATGAAATTGAAAGTACAGTTGCCCAGTGTTGAACAGTGGGAAAATTTCATGACTTGCATATTTGAATCTTTAAAATTTATCAATTTAAATTGTTGAATTTATCTTCTTTTCTCTTGTATGATAACTGTATTTGAGAATAGAACATAATGCATAAAAATATGCAAAAGCTTTTAGCTAAACAGATATTGGGAAATGATATGGCATGGAACCTTAAATCAAATATATATTTTCTGGAGTATGATTGGCTGATGTTGACCCTTTGACCTATATAATGGAGATCCAAAAGCTCTATCTCCCTCCCCTGTGGGCATGATTAACATTACATTCATCAGGGTGTAAATTGTGTTCAGAGATGTGGGTCAAATGTGTGGCTAGATTCTTGGAATATTTTAAAATCCAGGAGTAGGTAGTGATATGCACTGGGCGTGGCTCTGTTGCTATGGATCTATGGTGAATAACAGCATTAAGAAATGCATGTTGATACATGGAACGCCATACTTGATGTCAACATAATGTGCATTCAAATGACTTGTAAAGAAAAAGTATAATATAATTCATGAAATTTAAAGGGAGTGGTAGAGTTTTAAGCACATTTTTAACAAAGCAGCCTGTCATATAAAAGATTGAAAAATGTATATATTGAAAACACTAGTCTAATTTGCATATTGATGACATCAACAGGAAAGACTGAAGCAATTTTATTTTACCCTGATTCCTTTGGGTCCTGTATCACCTTGGTTGCCTTTTTGACCCTAAAATGAAATACAGATAGGAAACCATCATTAATAATAAATCTATTACTTAAATCAATTCAAAAGTAAAAAGATTATGTCCACAAGGGTTTATTTTCATGGAATTTTCAATGCCAACAGATGTATTGTTGAGGAGGTTAGAGAGCAGAACATGGTTTTTAGAGAGTCAGTAGTTGCTAAATTACTTACGTTAATTCCTCTTGATCCTTGTGGTCCTTCTGGCCCTGGGTACCCTGGAACACCTGTATTTCCTACCTGCCCTGTTGTTCCACGTGGACCCTGAAAAAATAAATATTATTAATGAAGGTTGTGTATTCTCTTTGTCCTAAAAGTGATAATGAGAGCATAGTAAAGAAAATATGATCAGTGAACAACTCTAAACCTCTACCCAAAGTCTCAAGCTCCTTCAAATCTTAATGAGGGGAGGAAAAACTATTTATTTCTCCATAGGCCTCTTGTTTGGGAAGTTTTAGGTTTATTTATATCTTGAAGACTCTATTTAACTATAATGCTTGCTCTGATGGTGAGCTAATTTTGATGTGAGCTTGTGTCAGGAAAATATTATAGAAGTGATGTTTTTCCCTACTTGACGTGTTATAGTATTATTGAATACTCAGTACATTGCCAAATACTTGCGAAAAATACATATAATGGGATTCTTACTATGATTATAATGAATGTAATATTTAATATTACCAAGAAAGTTATCAAATTTTGTACCAAAATTTGGAGATAATATTCATTATTTGGTATTTTAGAGGTGTACAATGTTCGCTTGGAGCATAGAGGATGAAAATAACGGCAAAACATAATGTGCAATTATTAATCCAAGAACGAACATGAGCACCGTGGCTAAATTTTCTATCATTCTTCATAAAAGGAGTAGAAAATTCACCTTGTAAGTCAAATGTATGTCTTGAATTGAGAAAACTTCAAAAATTATATTTATAATTTGAAAGATTTTCTTTGTTATCCATAGTTTAGGCTAAGTACAGCATATAGAGTAGATTTACAGAATGCTGTAAATGCCTAGGGCTCCCTAAGCCCTTATTAATTAAGGCTCAGCAGGACATTCCAACCTTTCGACTATAACTAACTGGTTCAAGAGGAAGACTAGAAATTAATTGGGTGTATAATAGCATATTAAATAATACAAAACAGTTGGGCAACATATGCAATTACAAGAGCGCCCTCTATGCACCAATATATTATATTTAATAAAATTTTATATAACACGATTTACTACATAATAAAACAGAAAAAGAAAATAGATGGATGATGAGCAAGTTTAAGAACACCAAGAAAGGGAATAGCACAAAGTAGAAAAGACTGGAGATTAAGTCAGTGAAGAGGCTTCTCCTGCAGTGGCATGTAAGAGCTTATATATATAATTAGTAGCACAGTATTATAATAATAATACACATTTTTAAAGTGCCTATTAAAGCAAACAAAAACTGGCTTGTCACTGGTGCTGGAAGATGTTAAAAAGAAGTTGAGCTATACGAAGAGGAAAGATTTAAGACTAGATTTGATTAATTCCTGATCAGATATGATACGTAATTGAGGAGGCAGAGAGTCCCAGATTTTAGGAGCAGAAAAGGAAAGAGAGTGTTCACTGATACGAATATGCTTGACTCATGGAGTAACAAGTTTGAGGGATTGTGAAAAATGAGTAGATCGGGAAGGAACATGTTTGTCAATAAGCGAACAAAGATATAGTTGGCACGACCATGAATAGATTTTTGATTGTCCAACCCTGTATGTTGAAAAATAATATAGATTATTATCAAAAATTAATGTTATTCAGTTGTCATACTAATAGCAAGTGTAACTGAACAGGCAAGTGAAATTAGGCGTGATGAAACACTTTATTCTAATAAATAGTGGTAACATAATTGTGCAATAACTGCTCGATTAATTTGACTAAAGTTTATCCAAATGACACAGAGAAAGTACAGTAGATTCCTTTTTGCTCTGACATGTTCTATGTAAGATATTTTTAATGAATATTTATATTCATATTGGAGTGGTAATTTTATGAAAAAATTATTTATTTTGATAATGATATAGACTCTAAATAATGCAATTATTATTATTATTATTATTATTATTTTTATTATTATAAGTGTATCTTACAAATTCGTTTTTTCTTAATTAATGTCAATCATCTTCAGATATAATGTCTAAAGCGTTCTTAGTTGTTGCATCGAGATAGGGAGAGATCCTCTCGCAACATGCATGGTAAGCCCAGTACTAGAAGAACACAAGGACAACATGGATGTTCAAGTTGTGATAATAATGATAAGCAGCTCGTTTTGCATAACGAACTGTTTTTCTAGCACAATCTTAGGATTTACTCTTATAACAAATACCAAGGTTGTCCCATAGCTCACCAATAATATTTTTATGGAGTTGAACAGGGTAAAATTCCTTTCCTTAGTAAGGCTTTAAACAGGGTGAAACTCATGCCCTACTGTAGGTATAAACAACTTTTCATTGGGTAGGATTTGTGACCTTAAATTTCCACATTTCCTGATATGTCCTTAACTAATTTGTGAGTGATCTACAGCTGTACCCAAAGTATTAAACAAATTATGCATGATGATGTCATATCACACCCATATATGAGTGTAGTTAGTAATGATGCCATCTCATATCCATACATGGGCAAACTCTCACATAATGCTAAGCTTCAGGATATTTTCCTTCACCTGAGAGATAATTCAATTTTTCCCTGGATATTATCAGACTCTAGGAGAAACCTAAGGAGGTTGCCCGCTCTCTTCCTCAAAGCATCATTCTAAAGTTATACTTTACAAGTAAATTCTAATAATCAGTACCGTAAAACCTCAAGTTGAAGCCCTGGGCATTTTTTTTTTGTGAATGGGCTCCTTTTCGAGATGGGCTTCTTTTCGAGGTTACTTTTCCAATGTAAAGGGGGAGGGGGACTCTTTTGAAAATGAATACTTTGGGAATTACGACTATAAAACAATAAATAGGGCCACTGTAACATTAATCTGTGTGATGGAATGTATTAACCGGCATAAGATCACCTAAACTAACTGTAAACCAAGCATGTTTTTTTTTTTTTTCACTGAAATTCATATAAAGTGTATGTACTATACTGTCCCGAAATAAAAAAAAAGGCAATTCTTTCTTGGAAAGAAGCCCATGGGCTTCTCTTTGAGGCTACATTTTCCAACTAAAAGGGGAGGGGGGGGGCTTCAATTCGAGATGGGCTTCTTCTCAAGAGTAAGCCCATTGTTGTAGGGTAGTAAATAGCACACATGCATACCGTGACAACTATGTCGTGTGAAATGGAGTATTATTATCATTATGACGATTACAGAAGATTGAATAATCTACTATCTACTTGCTTCACTATACCATGCACTTATTAAGCGCTCCATTGTTATACTACCTTATGTCAAGACATACAGTAGTAGCATAAACAACAGAGACAAGTTGCACATTTGTTTTGGTTTTTTTCTTCTCTGTTGTTGTTAAGTGCCTCAATGTTGTGTCAAAGTAAGGCACTATATAAATCTAGAATTATTATTTATTATTAATAATATTGAAATTTGTTTATAGGATTATAATTCCTTTTCAATTCTGCCTGTTTTTTTTTTCTTACAAAAGCTTTATAGTAATTAGAGTATAACAAAAATTCTACTGAGGATCAATGCAAAGAACACCAGATAAACAAAAGCTATTTACAAATTCAACCATCTTTTTATCATTTAATTTCATTCATTTATTTATTCGACCAATACACATTTACAAAATGTACAGTACAACAAAAATTGTGGAAAAAAAAAATTTAAAAAAAAATATTATCACCACTTTCAGGTAAATACATGTTATATAAATATCTATAAAAACATAGTATGGGTGTAACAGTATATGATTTAATCAGTATATGATTTCTAAGTGATTTTTAATTAATTATTTTTAAGGCAGGTATGAATGAAACTAGAAATCTTGAATTTTACCAAACACTGTTTGGTACAATTCAAGATTTTTACAGGCTGTTGCAGCCTTTGAATATTTTTTTTTAGTTGTGTCTACTCTACATCACCAAAATAGGCCACATCGGTATGTATATTTTTCTTTCTGTTTGCACCAATGAGATCAGAATGTTTCAAATTATTAATTACTAAATGCATCTGCAATGCTCCTGTCCAATTCCTAACAACTAGTATCCCACCCCTCTTGAATTTTCATTATCCTCTGTTAAAATGTTGGCATAGCTGAACTATACTTCTTAATGTACAGTAGTTATACTGAATGTTTTTTTTAAATAATTAGAAATTAGGCCTACCTACATCATAAAATAACTGAAGCGTGAGGTCATCAGTATTCTGCTAGTTAATTAGAAACAGTTGAAAAGCGCAAATACGCAGCTGATAGCTGGGCCTAAGAGTGTTGATGGTTCCAATTCACTGAAAATATGTAATTCAACCTTAAGCTGTTTCAATTTATTTTTCGTCGATGGCTAATGTTTCTAGCATTTGGCTTGCTATTGAAGACACCCTTAGGCTATGTAATAATAATAAATACCTTGGACAAAATAATTCACAAAATGATGTTGGATAGATCAAGACCCTTGGCAAATAATTATGATCATTATTTGAAAGATTTTTGTTTTCATAACAAACTTGTTAAATTGTAACAAATTTAATATGTTCTTTAATTTAATTTGCAACAAAGTTTAAGCATGCAATTGCATATCAGTTGTCAGAACACCCAGAAAAAAACGTGCATACATTTAAAAATCATTTTTAAGCACACTCCAAAAATACCTGAAGGTAAACATTTGAGCATTTTGCTGGTAGGGGTGAGGGTTTTATTGGCAGGGGGCTTGGGATCTGAAAGGCAGGGAGTTGAGTATAACAGCTTAGTAGGCAATACATAGCAAATTTTCCCAAGGCGGTGGCCCAACCTGCACATGCGTTCAATTGGCTGACCCGTGGCTCAACCGGGATGCGTTAACGAGTCACAGGAGGTGGACCTGCTCGGAAAGTGACCGCAATACACGTTCTAATCTGGCTGATCAGTGCCAAAACCACTAGGACAAGCTTCACATGAATGAAGCTTGTTGATTCTGTTGTTAACGTGGATATCAGTGGTGGAGGGTTGCCAATTACACCCGATCCTATCATGCTGGGTACAAACTATAATTTCCCAACCTAAGAATGTGCAAGTTATGAATTACTTTGCAAAGTTACTTATAACTTGTCTACATATTCAACTAAAAAATTACTAAAAATCAGAATATT